TTTTGCGATAATTTATAGTGTCACTAATTCAATTAATCATGTAGGCGTCTGCCAAAACCAAAGGGTCAGACTGTTGGATCTTTCCGGAAGGGACTTACCATGTTGCCAGATGCAATTTCTGCAAGGTACTAAATGTTGCCTTATACCAACGTTCTATTTTATTTACTCTTATTCTCCAGATTGATGATCCTAGCAAATTGTGATCGTGTGGACAGATTAGGCAACAAAGTAAAGTTATCTTGGAAGCTTTCAAGTATTAGTAAACTGGATAGTGGAGAGTACAATTTGACATACGAAACACCAGAAGGAGTGGTTTCTTTGCAGTGCAAAACTGTTGTCCTGACCATTCCTTCACATGTTGCTAGTACATTGCTACGTCCCTTGTCCGTAAGTTTCTCCCTGAAATGGGGATTATATAAAATATTCTTGTGAATTAATGACTATTTTATCTGTGGAATCTTTGAACTTGGGCCATATGATCTGTTGGATTTGTGTGGGTGTGAAAGCAGACATGTTTTGATCCATAATTGCAGATCTTTAATTTTCTTTGCCTGCATGCCTTTGGCTCTTTGCATGTTTAAGTGTGTTGTGAGTGGCCCTTGCATCTCACCCACAATCGCAGATAATGCAAAACACAATTAAGCCAAAATATGCTTTTTACAGGCCTCAATTTTCATTGCAGGAGAGTTATCATAGTTTCATAAACTTATATTATCATTTGAAAATTTACAAATATGAGTGATTTTGTGCTTTTTTCATTGATTAACAAATTATCAGTTGGTCAACCATAGACATTTTTCAGAATCAAGCTAGAGCACTTACATTGTTCAGGATCAAACAAGAGCATAGGCATTTTTCAGAATCAAACTAGAGCAGGACACGTTCGTAGTGCATGGTTGTGAAATATGTTATTTCCTTGGAGGCTGAATAAACCTGTCTCCTCATGTTGAAGTTCCTTGTATATTTTTGCCTGACTAAATTTAGAAAGCCTTGAAAAAATTATGCCTAACATTCAGGGCCGTTGTTCCTGACAACCTTTTAATATCTCTTGCAGGCTGCTGCTGCAGATGCACTTTCAAAGTTTTATTACCCTCCAGTTGCTGCAGTTTCCATATCCTATCCAAAAGAAGCTCTTAGATCTGAATGCTTAATAGATGGCGAGTTGAAGGGATTTGGTCAATTGCATCCACGTAGCCAAGGAGTGGAAACATTGGGTGAGTATTGATTTTATAAAGCAAAAGTGGAGGCTTTCACCACATTAAGTTCTATTCATTTTTCATTATTATTATCCATGTTTGAACTGGGGACTGTGGAGTGCATTCTAGTGTTTTGACAGGTTTGAATTTGATAAGAACATACTTGTGTCTGACAGGAACTATATACAGCTCATCACTTTTCCCCAACCGAGCACCACCTGGAAGGGTTTTACTCTTGAATTACATTGGAGGGGCTACCAATACTGGAATTTTATCAAAGGTGTGACATTCTTATGAAACGTGAATAGTTAACATAGATGCAAATGGTTGAGCTGTTACATATATCTATACATTATTTCTTTTTGTTATATTGAATCAAGTGTCATTTCCTTCTGTATAATTAGATCTGTTTCTTTTTTTTTTTTTTAATTTCCTCCTAAGTTCTCTTGTTTAATGGCAGACGGACAGTGAGCTTGTTGAAGCAGTTGATCGAGATTTAAGGAAAATCCTTATAAATCCAAATGCCCAGGATCCATTTGTATTGGGGGTGAGACTGTGGCCTCAAGCTATTCCACAATTCTTAGTTGGCCATCTTGATCTCCTAGATGTTGCTAAATCTTCTCTAAAAAATACTGGGTTTGAAGGCCTGTTCCTTGGGGGTAACTATGTGTCTGGTGTTGCCTTGGGACGATGCGTTGAGGGAGCCTATGAGCTAGCAGCTGAAGTAAACGATTTTCTCACGAATAGAGTGTACAAATAGTGGCAGTTCTTGTTTTCCTGAAATGGGTGGGACTTTCATGTTCCATTGACTTGTAGTGACAGTTTCTCAAATTGGTTCCTTAGGTTTTTGGTGGTTTCTATTGCAAATAATGTAAAATCCTGTGTTTTATTCATTATCTACTTCAAGCGTATTTAGCAAGGTAGCTATCACGTTGCCACTCCATTCGTCCCCTCTATGCTAGGGGGGTTGCTAGAGTTTGACTTGTTTCTAAATATGTAAATCCAGGCAATGTTCTATAACAATTGCACGAGTTACATGATTATATATCGTGTCTTTGAATCTGTATATTTTGTGTGGGAAGTAGTTTTCAAGTTCATTTTGAGGTTAAACCATGCGGGAAATCAATTAAAATTGAGATGCCAAGTTGCTTCTATTCTTGCCCCAAGGGTAATGAATGATAATTTGCTGATATTGAAGTGATTGAGATGAACAAGATGTATGGTTGAATCTGGAGTTCATTTAGTAGTTATACAGTTGTTAGGTGTCAAATTTAGTGAAGCCGCTTACTAGAATAAAAAAGCTTTAAATGATAACTGCGACATTGAATTTTGAATAGGAAGGGTAAGGAAGCTTATTATTGGGGAGCAAAATGTTTGAGTTCAGTGTCTGTATATGCTAGGCAACTTAGGGTTGGATTCTTGAGGCAAATAATAGTGATAGAAAATAAGAAACTAAAAGAGGTGAAGCCCCACTACTAGTGTTGGACTATTCGACCTAGCGTGGGGACATTCTTACATGGGAGATGTCAAAAGTTATACTAGAAAGTTTGACCAATGAATGAAACTCATAATTTGTAAGGGATGGACAATGATGACGGAGAAGCTAAGCAATGCAAAACAAGATGGTAGAAGAAGGGGAACGACAAGGAAATTGGGCGATTTGGTCTTCACATCTGAAGACACATCTACGATGGCTATTTAAGAAAAAGCGGATTGGGTTACACCTTGCTTTTCTAATTCAACACAAATACTATTTTGGAGACCAAATGACAGATTGATGGCTAATCGAAGCAACCTTATGGTTGGGATGGTGGGGAACATTTTACTTTTTTCCTTTTTCACTCCTTTGAACATGCTGTCAAATATTCCTCTTTAGCTAGCATTTGCCATATCTTTAGATCCAAGTAATTATGGTCTTGTTCCCTCTTCAATTCGTTGCTAATTGTGAGCATTAAAGCAAATTCAACATGAGATCGGTTGCGTTATCCACGTGAGAGAGAATATGAGAACCGTGAGTCATGCAGAAACGAAGAATATGATGACTATGATAGTGTCTTTTTCTTTCTCTTTTTGGTTCATTTGCCTTGTGAAGAGACATGGTTAGACATATGCACTCTATTCATTACTTTTCTTTTTTACGTTTCAAAATAATTGTCACGGTTAGACACAAAAATTAAGAAAGTAATTACATATTAATACAAGCTTATTTGATCATACTATCTTCGCATACTATTAATAATTTGTTTGATTTCATATTTGTGATGCGACTTTTCACATTTATAAATAAGTTAGTAGTTATAGCCTTTATGTTTATTTTAATAAATTGATGTGGTTTATCATGTTTGTAACGTGTCATTCTTGGTTTTGTCATAAGGTACCATTTAATTATACTTCTGTTATATATAAATAAAAAAAATTATAATATGAATATGTTTCAATAGTTTTTAAACAACTTGTTAAAAAGAGAAATTAAAGAACATGTCGCCATTAAAAATATTTTAATGTTATCATATTTTGCTTAGTGTATATACCAAAAAAAAAAAGTAATGTTGAAAAAGGATCGAGAATTAATATTTATTTTTATTTTTTAAAGCAACAAATAATTTAAATAAACTAAAAGTTAATACTAATAATTATTTTGAATTGAAGGGCTAATAAAAAAAATACACTTTTTTTAAAGTGTGTTTCCAATTCCAACACGTGTTTGATATTGAACAGAACTTATATTTCTTTCCTCTTTTTTGCCTATGTTATCAAATCGAGTTGATTGCCAGTCCCCAAGACCCGATCTCGTGTATCATCATTTTGCCATTTTTAAATGTCAATAATATATTCAAACTTGTCACGTACTTCACGAAGCGATCATATATATATATATATATATATATAGATAACCTTTTATTCTTTCTTTCTTTCTTTCTTTATTTATCATCATAAAATTGCTTTTGATATTGATTAGCGTGAAAACTAGTCATGCATAATAAAAAGCAAAATGAAACCACATCAGAAAGAAATAAATGCACACGACAACTCTGCACAGATGAAATAAAATGGTGGTAAACTTTGTCTCGTGCAGTTAATTCTTGAAAAGGAATGAGGGAACACTTGTAGAAATTATGTTCTCATATATTAAATGGTACGGTTTCTTAATATTCATACACCAGTATGTTTTCCTTGGTACGTAGCAGTATTTGTAGCCTCACTTGCACCAATGCCTTAATACATTTGTCTCTGCAACCAACATCCCTCACGAGCAACACGATGATTATATCCATTGAACATCAATAACGTGGATAGTACGTGTTTATACAATGTTTCATATATCAACATTAGTGTCCTCTTGTCCACCTGAATTTTTATCCCACGAATTGTCCAATATCTAGGTTCATACCATCCTCCTCAAAAGTACAGACTCGGTGTATTACAGACCACACGCTTTGTCTAACTACTGTCTCTATTGTAATTGCCAACACCATCTTCAAATAGCCACTAATTGAAGTGTTCAATTTTAATCATAAAAATCTTGAACTCAATTTTGTTTGCACTTGCACGACCAACGTGTGATTTCATTAATATTAAGTATTAACCAATCTGAATATGTGAAGCCTGAATTATTTAATAGAAAACATGTTGACATAGTATAAATACTATGTTGATTTTTACTAATTGACACGTGTAGTTGTCGGCTACCATGACAACATTTTAGGTCTACCAATTGCATGGGAGGAAGAAAAAGAGGAGAGGTGGCGCAGCAGCTTAAAAAGTCTCCTTCATAACACTGCTCATGTTCTCTCTTTCCTTCTTTCTTTATTTAAGGCCTTTAAGGTGGCGGCTTCATGTGTAATCCAAGCAAACTAACTAGTTCCTTCCACAATGGGCAAAGCCTCTAGTTCTTCATCCTCATCTATCAACAGCTGCAAAAACCCTTCTAATTCAACTTCTTCCTCTCTCTCACACCAAAATAGTGGAGACCTTCGCACAGATCTTAGGCTTGGACTCAGCATTTCTGCCACTCAACATGTTGGCTCTTCTAGTTCAGGGTTAGTATACATGCAAAACATGATTTGTCATCATGAACCTTAAAAATATACATTATTTTTATACATAGTAGTGATATCAAGGTTTTAAAAAATGGTCTAAAACAACGATTTTGGCAACATGTCAAGGTTTTCGAGGTTTCTGATCGGAAAATTTTATGGGATTTTTGTGACAGCAATTGCAACTGCATCAGTCAAACTGGTGTAAACTGCAATTTCGGCCACATGCCAAAGGTTTTTGGGGTCTCTGTGACCACAGAAGTTTTTGGGATCCATGTGGTTGCAATTGTGGTTGCATCGACCAAATGGTGTGCAACTGTAATTTCAGCCATATGTCAAAGATTTTTAGAGTATCTGATCACAATGGTGATTGTTGCATCGACCAAGCGGTGTACAATTGCAATTTCAGTTGCATGTCAAAATTTTTAGGGTCTCAATGACCACAATTGTGGGTACATCCACCACATTTGTATAAGTGATTCCTTGCAATGTCATGGAATGCGGCGAAACCGTGATTTCCACCACAATTTAAAACTAGGTTATTTTGTATATGGCTTAAATTGTTCACCCCATCACGTGTTTGTGTCTTTCTCATTTATTAGGGGGCACTGGCAACCGGTGCAGCCACATCTAAGTTGTTCACAAGTTACTGAGGTGAATGATTGCAGTGATTATACCAGCTTCTTTGTGAAGGTCTACATGGAAGGCATTCCAATTGGTAGAAAACTCAACTTGTTAGCTCATGATGGCTACCACGAGTTAGTAAAGGCCCTTGAACAAATGTTTGACACCACCATTCTGTGTAAAGTCTAATGCTATATACTCTCATAGTTATATTTGCTTTGTGTAGCATCTTTGTTTCCTCGTTAGTAAAGTAGTAACAAGGGAATGTGGCTGTTTTGAACAGGGGGGACTGAGATGGATGGAGTGCAACCAGAGAGATGCCATGTTCTAACTTATGAAGATGGAGAAGGAGATTTGATTATGGTTGGGGATGTGCCTTGGGAGTAAGTTATTTACTCTTGATTTCTCTTAAAAACACATTCTCTTTCAGTTTTAAGCATTAATGTACTTTCTTTTTTGGTCATTTAGAATGTTCTTATCATCTGTAAAGAGGTTGAAGATCACAAGGGTCGAGGCATTCGGGTGATAGATGCATACATATGACAACTTCAAGTTTAGTCCTATAGAGTGGGACACAATATTAGTGATTATTACTGATCATCAAAGTAATAATCTTAGAATATGTTTGGATAATGGTATGGCATGAGATGAGATCATGAGAGCTAGCAAATCGAAGGAAAAAAAGGGAAGGAAAGGGGAAAAAATAAGGGGTTAAATGATGTTTTTGCCCCTTTATTTGGATATGGATATATTTAAAACTTTTCAAATCTTCTAAAGTTAGGAGATTTTGAAACAAAAGTGCATGAAATGTCATATAAGGATTACATTTTTTTTTTCTTTCTTTCCATCCTTTTGCTCACTCACGCCTCTAATGGCTTAACTTTTCTAGTTTCTAGAAGTCAACTTTTAGCTTCTCTCATTGCCGACATAATTTCTCCAATTGTTAAGACCCAGTTCCTCCGCATTCTCACAAAGAAAATAAAGAAACCAAAGGAAAATTGCACAAAAATATATGAGGACAAGAAACCAAGGTGTGAAAGAGGTGTTGTGCGAGGAATAAGGAGCATTAAAGGGACAGACATAATAGAATGTCGAGCGCAATAAAGTAATTTTATACGACACATAGTTTGATTTGATTTTGATTAGTATATATACACTTGTTCAGATTCAAATTTCAATCACATAAATGTTGATTTTATTAGTCTATACGTACATAGTTCCACCGGAATAAAAATCAGATCTAGACATGTCTTCAATTTAAATTTCGAAAATTAGTTTGAATGCATGTCAAATAATTTAATAAATTCTACAAAGACACTTACAGAATATGTAGGCACAATTCTCTCAATCAGACAAAGACCCGTGTAGATTGGTGGTAGACAAGCTCCAACCTTTGCCCACAGTGGCTTCGGTTGACCCAAATTATATATTCTAACATTTAAATGTTGCTGGCCCAGCAAATTGTCAAGCACAAAACAAATAGAAAGGTAAACTCTTAAGCAAAATAAGATTAAAAAAAGAAATAAAATTAAAAAAATGACTGAATAAAACCTTGAACATTTTTTTTAATTTTAAAACATGACCACAAGAGAGTACCACGGAAGCCAACATGGATTGATGTAAGTAGTAAAGATTTGGACCGAACTTTCACCTTTTCTATGACTAAGGGTTACACCACTTTTTCCATTTAGTAGGCAACTCTTTCCGCTAAGATCCTCTGATGCTTAAGAGTTAGTTGAATAGTTTCAATTAATTGTTTCAATATGTCATTGGCAGTTTAGTAATATTGAAAGTTTCTCCTCATTTTATCAAATAAATTTTTTTTTTAAAAAAGGACGACATACACACTATTATCTTATTTGATTAAATATGACATCTTTTATGTGATAAGTTCTTATCAAGGTTTTATAAAATGCTCCGAGACTATAATTTTTGTCTGGCTGTCAATGTTTTTGAGGTGTTCATTACACCACCATGGTCGCATTTTATCTATAAAATTTCTCACGATATTAAGGAATGTGACAAAATCACAGTTTAAAACCTTTGGTTATAATATATTCCTCAAATTTCTCTGTTAGAATTCTCATAATAAGAATTTGCCTACTATTTGTTTTTCACTGCGAAACCCATTTTTCTTATGCTTCTTTTGTATAAGATTATAAGAATCATCTCAGATAAAGTGGAATAGACTTTTTGAAATGACACCATCTCTGTAGTTTCACATGTTAAGCTATGTTTTTTTTTGTCATCTTGTGGGTTTCTTTTGACAATAGCTCTAGTAATCACGAGCTAGATTCTTCACAAAAGTTTGTATTCATCAACTTCTAGAAACAAATTACCAACGAAAAATGCCACGAACTAGGTATATGATTTCAGTACATTATTATTGTCGAACCTTTGTCACAGAAAATAAAATAAAAGAAAAGAAAAAAAATACACTGGAAAAGAAATTAAGAAACAGTTTAGAAGGAATTCTGATATGCACAATCCAAGTTAGAACCTGTATCTACGTTAAACAAGGTAGCATATCTTTTAAAGTATCCAATCCGGTCATTCACCCTTGAATCATTAGGAATTCCACATTCAAGTCCACCATTGATTATGTTTGTGACTAGGCCATACCCCGCAGTTCGATTAGCTGCTATGTCAGCTTGTGTTGGCACATATTTTCCAATCATCACATTGTGGCAAGAGGGTTTTGGCTTTTGCTCTGTCATCCAAAACCAGAGAGCTGTTTTGAATGCAATCAATGAATTGTTTGACACCACATCCGGGTTTCTTAATCCATCAAATCCCAAGGCCTTCCCTGCTGGCCCATAGTTGTAGTTCCTGCACAAAATTTGATTTCAATTCATCAATAAGCCAATTGCATAAACAACAAATATTAGTCATAAGTTAACAACTAATAATCATAATAGTATCTAGAATTTAATTTGCACCATTTACAACTTTCATCTAATAATAATAGTTCTTTATATATAGAGAAACTGTTGAGTATAATTAGCTTATAAAATAGTTAAAAACTTGTAAGTTAGAGTTTAAAATATTAAAATTTATTAGAATAAAAAATGTTTGATAATATTAACAGATAAGTTAGTTAATAAATTAATAAATATAAAATTATATATTTCGTTGTTTTAAGTAAAATGAGATTTCAAAAAAGTAAAGATTTAATTATCTTTATAGTGTCATAAACTTTATCTTTCAATTTCTTTAATTAAAAATGTTCTATTTTAGTCCTTTTTTATGCAATTTTTGTTTTATTTTATTTGAGTTCCCATATTTTATTACTATAAAAACAAAAATATAAAGTTTATAAAATTATAGAAACTATAAAAAAAACCAAAAAATATGTATATGGAGACTAAGATAAAATATTCTTAATTATATAAATTAAAAGATAACATTCACGAAAGTATAGGAAAAAAAATAATGAAGATAAAAATGATAAAAAAAGTTAATAATTTGTAAGATAGTTTATTTTCAAAGAATTTATAAAGTAAGTTAAAAGTTAATCTTGCCTATGAAATAAATTTATTTTCTTTAAATACCTTGTCTAGTAATAAAATTGTGATTTTTTTGTGATAGTTACTTTGAAAATCAAGTCTAATGTGATTTTTAATTGATTAACAAAGTAAAAAAAATCTTTACAGAAAAATATATGAAATTTAAAGTGATAAGTAACAATAAAAGTGGATAATGTTGATACCATGAAAGTTGAATTGGACCTCTGCCTTTGTAAGTTTTCCCTGGATAACAAGGCCATTCTTTGTTGGAGGAATCACAGTAGTCACTTTGAGGACTAACTTCTTCCTTGAAACACAATCCCCAAGCATAGGGTCCATCAGGTGCAGTAGCCCACCCACCTGTAGTTTCATGCGAAATTTGAGCAAGAAATGCAGCAATCTCACGCTTCCGAGTGCTTAAACTACCACTGCTACCAAACCCCGGGAAGCGTTTCGACGCCGTGATGAAGGACTCGTAGGTGTAGAAGTTTTTGGCGGGGCATGCAGAGTCATCTTTGTGCAGGAAAATGGAATCAAAAAGCTCTTCGCTAACGAGATGAGAGATGGGTGTGGGGGGCACTGAGCTACGAGCTTCAGTAACCAAAGACGTGGAGTGAAGAAGAATAGCGAAGACGAATAGCAAGCTAGACAAGAATGAGAATGCCATTTGCTAAACAAAAGGGTAGAATTCGATGAGTAAGAACAAGACGGGATAAGAATTTATTTATAGATGCTAGCTATCTCAAGTGGAAAATGTCAGAACACAGAGTTGAATTTGGCATATTAAAACACGGTGGAGGCTTGGAGGGTCAAAGGTTAAGGTTTCTTTTAATGAGATGCTACGTATACAATGCATTTTCTGATTGTGGAGTGTTGACGTATTCTGAATGGTTGACGAAGCATTGGTTGAGTTTAGGGGAATTGTCGACATAAGCCACATGGCAACTTGGGTTCAATAGTGCCTATTAACCTGCATTCTGGGATTTGACCACAAGTGATGTTGATTGAATGATATTGTCAATGGTCTTTGTATGTTATACAGCCACAAGAAAAAAATTAAATCATATAAAATAGATGTATAGAGATTTATAAAGTTCAATTTTTTTATTTATTTTTATTTTTTTTGGTAGTTGTTGTAGTTTATTATCGATCAAAATTATTGAAACAATCATGTGTGTAACAATAATTATGATTTAAATAAATATAATTATCGATGATGAGACGTGAATGTACCATTGTGTTTTTACATGTAAGAAAAGAAAATATCTCACTTCTACTTTTCCTATATGTCTAATGAGACATGGCAGACATCTTTGATTTACAAACACTATGTATCAAGTTTCAGAAATTAAGAGAGAGAGAGAGATTAAGAGAAGAAAATATTTAAGGAAGAAGACAATTCACTTACTTTTTTTTATTTTAATATTCAATAAATTACAATAATAAGATAATATAAAAGTTTATAAAAGCAAATACTAATCAATGGTTGATATTTAATAGTGATTTTATACATTATAAAACTAATTGTGAAAAATATGGATGAGAAAATATTTTTTATAAACTATTAAATAAAAATAATTCCTTAAAAGAAAGATGAAAAAAAATCAATATAGTAATAACAATATTAAAATTTGTTTATGTGATTAAAAGGTGAATGTTCAAAAGTTAAGATTTCAACTCAGGAGCTCATGCTTCAAGTTCTTATCCGCTACAAATAGAATTGCCATGCAATCGTGAATCAGAACTTAAATTGATTCTTATTAATGTAATGTGCTGTATTTGAAACAATTAAAGAAACTAATATGAGTAAAAATGATAACAAAATATTGAGAGAAATTGTACTAAACTTCTGAAAGCATTAATAAAGTTTACCCGGATTATTATTACATTAAGACCAACATTTCTTTTACATTTTTATTAGGGGTAGACAAATAAGACTAACATTTCAATATTCAGATGAAAATGACAATTTTAAGTAAGTTTATTTTAACTTATTAAATAATTTAAGAACAATAACTATTACAATATTTTGTTTACTAATTGTATTTTAGTTTCATATTCTTTTATTAGTTAGTATAACCTGTTTAGTAGGTAGCCTAGGCAGTTTCTATTTAGTTTCTCATTCTGTTATATATTTGTACAATCTCAGAAATATTAATTGCATTCAATTTTTGTTTTCTTTTCAATCTCCTTTCTTTCCCTCTCTGTTTTTCAATCACTCTCAGCCATTGATAAAACTATGATATGGTATCAGAAGATTTTTTTCACTTACGCATAATCTGACATGCTCTCTTAGCTTTCCAAAGAGACTTGCAAGAGTTAATGAAGTTAAGTCCTTTGATTCCTCTATTGCAATAACCTTTGCTTGCCAAGATCTATCCAAGCATTATAGAACCTTCAAATTTAGTTCTTCTTCTTCAAATTTCCTGCTAAGATCAGTAAGGTGATTTATCAAGTGTGTAAAACGTTTTTGAAAATCAGAAATTGATTCACCATGATTCATTCTCAACAATTCATATTCTCTTATAAGAGTATGCTTTCTAGATCTTTTTACATCACTTTTTCCTTCATGAGTAACTTGTAGTGTGTCCCACATTTCTTTAGATGACTTGCATTGAGAAATTCTAAAAAACTCATCAATAGACAATGTAGATGTTATTATGTTATTTGCTCTATAGTCATATTGAGATCTCTTTTTCTCATCATCACTCCACTCACTCCAATGTTTTTCTCTCTTTCCATCACCATCTTTGGTCATAGGGATATAGGATCCATTTTCAATTGCATCCCATATAGGGATAACACTCAAGAACCTTGTTCTCGATCCCAATTGATAGAAAAGAATGGCGCGCTTAATCTAAGAGGGGGGTGAATTGGATTCAATAACACTTAAAATTTTATTAGAGTTTTAAGGATCTTTATTTCAACTTAAACTTTTCTAATATGAATTTTTAAAGAAGGATGCAACTTGGTGGCCAAGGATGGAATCTTTGGGTTTAGATTGGCTATATCTAGGTGCATGATAAGACCATGCAACCTTTGCCCTCCACTTGGGCCTAAGCCTTTCTAACACCAAAAATAGGTCCAAGAACACCAAAAAAATGTGTCACCCCCTAATTTAACACCCTAACCCAAAATTAAAACCCTAATCATCTAGAGCACCCCATAATACAAGGGTAAAATGGGAAATACAAAAGAAAATAAATTCTAAGTCCTAAACACCCCAAAATACAAGGGTAAAATTGGAAAATAAAATAAATCCTATACTAATGAGGCTTAGGAGAGAACTAATACTCTATGATCATGAGGAGAGTGTCCCTTGGTGTGTGAGCTCCCTCCTTCTCTTCAACTCTCCTAGCCATGGACCTAGTGATGGGGCCCACATGTGTCCTCAAGGATGGTCCTCCATCATAAATGATTATGAGAAATGGGTCCATTGGTATCACCCCTTTGTCAAATTGTGGCTGACATGTGATAGAACTAGATGAAGACCGGTTGATGAATCTTCATAGCTCCACCTTCATTTGACCTTTGCACCTTGAGGTTGACTCAATTCGAAGCTTGAAACACCTTTGAAGAACCTTCAATGGTGGAGAAGCAACTTGGATGGTTCAGCCACTTCAAGAAGCTTGAAGAAGCTTGATGAACCTAGTTCAAAGGTTGAAAACCTTTGAAGGAAAACCTAGAAGAGAAGCTCCACGATTTAGAGACTTAAAAGAAGAGAGAATTCTTAAGAGAATTTCTGAATTCATTCATCAAAAGTGAGGTAATAGGTCAGATTTACAAATATATAGGGAGAGGTAGCTTAGAGAGCAAGCTAACCTTAACCATGGTTCACTAGGAACCATGGTAAGGTTTAGCCTAACCGTCCAAGGTTTGTAAAACTTGTAGAGCAAGCTAACCTTAACCAAGGTTTACTAGGAACCATGGTAAGGTCAAGCTTGACCGTCCAAGGTTTACAAAGCTTGGAGAGCAAGCTTCTAAGCTTTGGAAGAGCATGAGTGAAATTCGGCCAAAGGAGAACCAAGGAGCTAGGCGGCCAAGACTTAATTTACTCACTTAATTAATTTAAAAAATATTTGATTTGGTTTAGTTAGTTTCATCATATGATGATGAGACCTAGCTAAATCAAATCTATAAAAAAATTAGGAGCAAAATGAGTCTAATATGTAAAATTTTGCCTAGGCCCAACTCTGGCCCAATTTCTAATCACAGTCCCAGGCATTGCTAAATGCCACCCTCTTTTCCCTACTGAAAAATTAGAAAATGAATGTATCAACAAAGGAGGTTAAATGAAGTTAAACTCTCCAAGTAACCCACCCTAAAATCAATATACAATGACTAATAAAACCAAGTAAAATGCCTCAAGGAATTCTTGTAGTGAGTTTCTACAAGAAGTTCTTTCTTGGGCGCAAGAAAGTGTCTATCTTGAATATTGAAGTGTGTGCATGTGTGATATTCTTGTAAAACTTCTTTATTGAGATAGTGGAACAAATCTTGATCAGGTTATGATTGAGGACTGGATGTAGGTCACATGTGGAGTGCTTGAACCAGGATAAAACACTTGTGCATTCTTCTCTCACCCTTATCTCTTACATTGAGCAAAATCTTAATTGAGTGATAAAATGACTGATCTTGATTAATATGTTTGCATGCTTAAAATTGCTTTAAACTGAATCAAAACATTCCATATTAGTTGTTCTTAAAACTGAACTTAATCAAGATTAATCAAGAAAGTATATAGGACTCATTTCCATTGACAAGTTTTTCAAGAAACTTCTTTAAAAATTCATATTAGAAAAGTTTAAGTTGAAATAAAGATCCTTAAAACTCTAATAAAATTTTAAGTGTTATTGAATCCAATTCACCCCCCTCTTAGATTAAGCGCGCCATTCTTTTCTATCAATTGGTATCTAGAACAAGGTTCTTGAGTGTTATTCAATCCAAAAATGGCCAATAGCAACCTACCTTATGGTGAGGGTGTTTCTATTCATAGACCTCCTATATTCAATAGAGAGAATTATGTCTACTAGAAAATTAGGATGAGAAGTTTCATTGAAGCAATTGATATTGCTATATGGGATGCAATTGAAAATGGATCCTATATCCCTATGACCAAAGATGGTGATGGAAAGAGAGAAAAACATTGGAGTGAGTGGAGTGATGATGAGAAAAAGAGATCTCAATATGACTATAGAGCAAATAACATAATAACATCTACATTGTCTATTGATGAGTTTTTTAGAATTTCTCAATGCAAGTCATCTAAAGAAATGTGGGACACACTACAAGTTACTCATGAAGGAAAAAGTGATGTAAAAAGATCTAGAAAGCATACTCTTATAAGAGAATATGAATTGTTGAGAATGAATCATGGTGAATCAATTTCTGATTTTCAAAAACGTTTTACACACTTGATAAATAGCAGTTCACCTTTCCATCCAACAACAATCAGAGTCCAGATTTTTTTCGTCACATTGCCATTCCTAAGCCAACAACAAATCAGTCTATTACGCAAGAATTTTATGAGCAACCCTTATATGACAATCAAGATGCTTCTGCACGCCCTACAACTGAAACTGAACCTGCTGAAACTGACCAAGATATCCCCAATCAAAATCCCACTTCACAGACACATGACACTACCCGAAGATCATCTAGACAAACCAACCTTCCCTCATATCTAAATGATTACCAAGTCT